TTTAGTGGCAGATGGAAACAGATACAAAATCCTACTAATTTTGGGGAAGGAATAGGAGATGAAAGGGTATCTGTTATTGAGTAAGCTTCCAGAGAGAAGTAACTCTTCCCTTTATTTATGCATTTCCATGGCTACTTTATTTCAAAATGTGTTACTAGGTTTAAGTGTGAAACAATAGGTAGTATCTATTTAATTTAATACTATAGTACAATATTATATTACAATAACAAGTTATAGTGCCTAATATTATATTTTATAATGACACTGTAAGCTGCTATCACTTTACAAATCCTGAACCGTTTCTGCATCATTTTTGAGACTCAACTTTGCAATAGAAAAGTGACAAAAGTCTGGGTAGGAAAGAAAATTTAGATAAAATACAAAATTAAAGATTTCTTTCATAGGATAGTGGCTGTTAAAAGTGCCTGTTGTCCGCTAAACCTGATGAGTCTCTTAAGTCTTAACTTTTTTGAAGGTAGATGGTTTGGGTTTTCTTAAAGAGTACGTCTTTTTTGAAGGAACAACATTATCTGTAATAGATGATATGTTTGTCTTAAAACTGTCACTATATATAATATATGCACCTCTACTATTCCTTCTTTTATGCTTTGTACTCTAATGATGATGACAATTTTTGCCTAGGAGAAACCCTCACTTACTTTAAGCTTCAGAAGAGGTAAGGTTAAGCTTAAAACCACTGTCTTTACTGTGGCTGACCTCCCAAATATAAATCCTGTCTGCAGAGAGATTTCTGTGGTCCTCTTTGATGAATTTTGTTTGCAGAGTGAAGTGACAGCCAAATTCTAAACCTTAGGAAAGTGGGTAATTACACCTGCCATTTTCTGTGTCATACTTTTAATGTTTAAATAGCCTTTTGGGTATTTACAAGTGCAAATGATTATTTAGATGCCTTTTTTTTTTTTTTTTTATTTGCACACACAAAGTCTCCTTGTTCCTTTGATCTGCAACAAATGTTGAAAGAATGACTCAGTGAATTATAGGAGGCTTCTGATAGATATTTAGGGTAAGGCTTGATGTGTATATCTTTGAGATATATATATATATATATATATATAATATCTGTATATCTATGGCTGCCTCACCTGGATGATCTATCAGGCAGCAATGTATCACCATATTTGGTATGACCTATTTACTTGTTTCTGTTTCCCCACCTCAGTCTCAGTCAGCAGACATGAAGAAGATGTGGTGGTGCTGATGCTGTTTGGAACTTTATTAGAATATTCTACATGAAAATAGTGCTGCTTGTTCAGTGAGAAATGTAACTTGACCCAGAGCACTAAAGCTTATTCTGCCCAAAATGGAGATTTAGGGATTCTGATAATAAACCATTTCTAAAAATAAACCATTCTGGTTTATTTTCAACCATTATGATAGATAGGTAGGTAGGTAGATAGATAGATAGATAGATAGATAAAAGTATGTATAAAATCAGGAATGCTTACATTCAGTTTATAGATCATTTATGAAGTATCATTCCATCCTATTCTTTTTTATGCAACAAGAGATTGTTTCAATAAATTAAGTGGATGCCTGTTAATGTGTTTGATACAGCCCAAGAGATAACATTAAAATAAAATTCTTTATAATTCAGAACATTAATTCTAAAACCAGACTCTAGAACAGCTAGAAATATTGTGACAATGCTCTTGACATCTTATTTTCAGGCTGAGATTTTTTATAATGCTTTTTCAAAGCTAAGTGAGATTGATTTCGTGTGATTTACTACATTCAATTCCTGACAGTGAGAGGGAGATGTTAATCCCGTGAGCTTTCTGTTTTCCGTGTCATTATCACGGTGTCTGCAGAGAGGAAGTGCAGGCTCCTTTGTTGTGGTTATAGAATGTCAACACAGAAACTCAGAGGTGGCCCATAAACAAATTCATGTGTGATGGCTGAAGTGACAGAAGTTGACTCATTGGGTGCTTTTAAAACTAGAAGACATAATCCAGAACAGTTTTGTATAATCTCATATCAAGGGGAGGGGCTTAGGTAAGATGTGACTTAATAAGGGATGACAAGAAAGGTTGAGGGGTGTGTTTTTCCTGGTTTTCAGGTGGGGAAAAAATTTACTTTTACTTATTTACTTCTAGGGCAATTTAGGTTGGAAGGGACTAATGTATTGCTGTCTGCCAAAATACACGTTAATAGACTGTGGATGAATAATTAATATCTGGAATTGGCTTACATAATTTGCATTTTTCAGATTTGCAGAGGTGAGGTTTAATTTGAATCCCATAGATGTGCACTCGGGCACATGAGCGAGCTCTTAGAAGTCTAAAATAAGCTTTTTGGTTTTATTACACTGAAACATTTCTCTGAGAAGACAACACTCACAAATTCAATGACAAGGGAAGAATGTAAGCCAAGATAAAGCATAGTTGGAGAGAAGCTCTCTGGTTTTGTTCCATATCCCCTTGGGAATTGCTCCCACGATTCCTTGTGTCCATTAGGGTGAGTCCTATGTATGAAACAGCAGTAATGCCCTTTATGAAGTGTATGCTACAGTGGCTGTAAACTTTTTAAAATTAGACTGTAGTTTGGCTGGATAGTGGTGGGAAAATACATGTATGTCATTAGTGTGTTTACATTGATACTGACTAAGAAAATTTATTCTTGCAGAAACCGACTCTTTATTTCTCAGATAAATTGAAAGGGTAAACTGGGTGGATCATAAAATCTCAAAAGTTTCACCTTCAGCTGAAGTATGTTGGGGAGGAAACTGCTTTTTCAGTTAGAAAGTAGAGCAAGTTATTTTTCTTTTTTCTTGGTAAGAAATCCTTTATATTTATTTGAACCTGGTGCAATTATGAAGCCAGCAGAATTATTTTGGATTCGTGCTGCTGTTACCAACATCAAAATATGACTGTAGGAGTAAAATGGTGCATTTGTGGCACAGCACAGCATGAACAATTGCTATATTTAGGATGTAGGAAAACCCACTCTGTAGAAAGCAAGCACTCAATGAATTCTACAATAGTATAATAATACAAAGGAGAAGGAACAAAGAGGGGAAAGATAAAAGGTGTACATTTGACATGAGCATCAGGAAATAGCATAGTTTGCCTGCACAATAGTCCCTAAGGGGAACTGAACCAAATACACTTTTTGCTAACTTTCCATTTTAATCAAAAGTCCAGGTACTGACTGCTCTTGGAAGGTGAACCCTCCTGTGACAATGTAAGAAATTCAGGCACGTTCAACCCCTTCCCACAGCATCATCCCATATTGTAGTGCACCCCTTGGGCTTAAATTGTTTTAATGTGCAAAGTTTTTCAGGACAGTTTTTTTAGGCATTCAAAGAGAAGAGAGTTGCTAAATAAAATCCTGCAGGCTGTTTTCTCATGGCTCTGTCAACCATTTCAACTGCAATTTTCAAAAAACCATTTACTTCTTTCATGATATATTGTCCAGACTAAAGGCACGATTCAAATCTTATACCCTTGGTCAGGGTTCAAAACAGAGTCTTGAAACTAAAATGCAAACTTTGAGAGGGAAAAAGTGTGGTGGGTGAAGATGTGAGTGTGATTCTGCTTTCCCACCGGTGCAAATCCAGAATAAAACCTCACCTGTGTGGGGCTGTTGTAAAGGCTGATGCTCACACAACCCAGAGCAGCAGCAGACACTCAGCAGATGGGAGTTATTAACTCACCTTGATGAGTTGAGCATCTCCTTGGGATGGACCAGAAGTAACTTATTTTTCGGCAGCCACAAAATTGAATCGACTTCCCTCTGCGGTTTTGCATAGAAACCAAAATGCAGAAGCAAGAATTTCCTTGCATTGACAAAGTTTTTTAAGTTAAAACTGTCAAGTGAGCTTTCATCTTCAGCTGTTTATTCAAATGAAGAGTACCATTCCTTGTAAACTTACCCTGATTTTCAAACTTTACTGTACAGCTGGCTATGCTTTCTCAGTCTCGGTGAATCTGTCTGCTTATGTCACAGAATTCAAAGAAAATATTTTTAGGTTGAGGTCCAGTTGGTTGTTGCTTTTTTTTTAAGAATGAAATTTTTGCCTTTTATTATGTGTGATTTTGTTTGATTGGGAATGTTTCTTGTTTTGTTGTCTATGCTATGTGCACTAATCTGAATTGTCCTGTGTTACAAAAGGTTTATGTGCCACGTAAGTCCCAACTGCAAATCTTCAGGGAGTTTTGGGGCATCTCAGAAGACATCACCATATAGACATCACCATAAATCCAAAATCAAAAACCCAGACTAGGTTAAACATCTCCCAGAACACCTTTTACAGGAGCAATTTTTAACTTCTAGTGCTATGTCTAAATGTTTAGCATTTCATGAAATATCCCAATCAAAGGATTTTTCAATGGGACTTATGATGTGTCTTCTGTAGAATGTGCTGGTTTATGATACCTCACTGGTATTTTTTCGACTGTTCTACATTATTAGAATGTATTGGCAGCAAGATTAAATTGTTAAAAGTAATGGTACTTCATTGGATTAATTTTTTTTTCATATTGATAGAGGTGGTGGTTTTGGTTGCTTGCCCTTCACTACTCCTTTTAGATTGATCCCTACCCTCTAAAGAAAAGTCAGTTTCAAGACATATAAAATGGTGTCTTTAATAACATATTTTCAAAAAAATTAATCTGAAAATATTCACGTTGCCTGACATATTTCCACATGAAGAACAGGATCACTCCATGCTACACAACTAGAAAAACATGCAGCATTCATTTACAAAAAGCACGAAAATCTTTAATTTAAAATACCAGCTCGTTTCCTCACAGGTTTATTGGGTTTTTTAATTTACTTTTAGAATGCAAATAAAAACCACTACTGTTTCTTTTCCTTTTATTGCGAAGCAGACTACTAACATATGCTTTTGACTTTCATTTAAAGTAAGCACAGCTTTTTCCAGCAGGAAAAAAAAAAAAAAAAGGTTATTTCTCATTGAATGGTTGCCTCACAAGAGTTTTTGTTTTGTTTTGTTTGTTTTTCTACCTACCCAATTTTAGATGCTGCACAACAAACACGTGATGGTTCGTGTTGGAGGAGGCTGGGAGACTTTTGCAGGGTACTTACTGAAGCACGACCCGTGCCGGATGCTGCAGATCTCCCGAGTGGATGGGAAAACCTCTCCGATCCAGAGCAAGTCTCCAACCCTCAGGGACATGAATCCAGACAATTACCTGGTTGTTTCTGCCCATTACAAGACCAAGAAGGAGATTAAGTGAAATAAGCTTCTCATGTGAGTGCGGACTCTATGTATGTAGGTCCAAATTATTTTCTCAAGTGTAGTGAATTTAGTTCATGCTTTAAAAGGACTTTGGGAAATTTAAGACAGACTGGAAATGGCAACCCATTTTGAAGATCTTTGAATTGTAGAACTATTTATTTCTAGTACTGTATCTTTTATAGCAAATTACCCTTGATAGGCTAATTACTACAATCAGATAATAAATAGACATATATTTTTAGCCTAATTATTACTCTTTAATATGTGAATGTATACTTAGAGCTACATAAAGGAGCAGATCCTGTTAATGGAAGAAAATACACAGTACACTTGTATGAAAATCTTATAACTTCGAATCCTTGACTGTTAGGCTAGTTGAAAAATATATATGCAGGTGGAAAACGAGTATTTGTGGAAATTATTTGGTAATGCCTCTTGAAATGAAATAAAAATTGACTATTTTTACGGTTTGCAACCTTTTAATCAGCAGAATATAACGGCTCATTGCATGCCAAAAGCCATTACTCTAAATAATAATAATAAAAAAAAAGCCCAAGAAATCCCACCCACCACCACCTTTTTACTCTTTAAAGCTGTGTTAGAGCTGTGTGTACATCCTTCCCATTTTTCCCAAAGTTGCTCGGTATGGAAGCAGCGGGAAGTGCTTCCTCTGCCAGGCGATGGAGCTGGTGGGTCACGGCAGGGGGGTGATGTCCTGCAGCCCACCAGGGGAGGCAGTAACAGATGCACAGCCCTTGGACCCAAAGAGGAGCTTCAGAAGGTGTGAGTCCCTCCAGAGCCACAGAACACTGCACTGTTCTTGGACGTGAGCTTTCCCTTCCTTTTAGTTTTGTTGGTCATGCCAAATGTGAAATACTCGTCAGCGGAGTGGTTCACATTCTCATAAATCATTCACACACCTCTAAAGGCATACGTGGGCTTGGTTCATTATTTTGGCTACTTTTCTATGTTTATATTTGGTAATTTATGTGCCTTTTAATGTCCTAGAAAAATAATTTTGTAGGATTATTTCAGTGACTGTATAAATTTACAAATGAAATAAATTTTTTTTAAAATACCCCTGCGTTTTGAAAAGTCTTATTATTTGTAATGGGTCGTCCTCACTTTGCTTCCTACTGACCATACTGGATGCTCACAATATACAATACTGCTTGCCACCCTAATAATGAGCTACACAGAGAAAGGGGATAGCACTGAAATATACAAATTTTATTGAAAATTAATTTTCCTTTGCAGGGAAACAAAACATTCAAAACTATCCTTGGAATGATTTTTTTTTTTTATTTTAGTACTGACTCGTATTTTTCTCGATTTTCTGATGTTTAATTTTAAAACGTGGTCTTATGATCCACTCCCGTTGTCTTTAAAATTAACACCAGAATGTCTGCAGGTTGGACAGGATCAGGACCATCTTTCATGTTCCATGCCTTATTAAAATCAGCATGTTGTATCTGACTGCTGTGGAGCAGGCCCAGCTCACCATCTGTGTAAGGTAGGACTTACTGCATTTGACTGCACTGGTGTGGGTGTGGATAACAGAGCAGGAAATTAAAGCAGGAGCATCCATAAAGCAAACAAAATTTAAAACGTGCAGTAAGCTGGTTAGCACTGGAAGAAGGGCTTGGAGTCAAGTGTTGCTGATCTGGTAAGTGGCATTTTCTTAGTGTGTTAGGTCCTGTAGCAGTGTAGGAATTGGGCAATTTGTTAGGAGCCTAAGGCTCTTATTTATGAAGCCGAAGCTGAGCAGCAAAATCTTGCTCAAAGAGGTACAGGCCCTTGTTGCAATGATGGGGGCAGAGCAGCTTAGATCATTTTCCATGATGAATGCTGTGTAGTGATTTATCTAACTCTACTGTCTTGTAACATGCCTGAATTTGAGTGTTGAGGGGGGTTGGAACTACTAAAAAGTTTTAACTCATATGAGCTGCAACAAAGCCTCTTCTCAAAGGCCTTGTAGACCAAACCTCGTGGGAGCTCCAGCTGGCTGTGAATAAACTGTGCTAAACTTCAAGACAGATAAATTATGGGAGATTACTTATAAAAAACATCATTATTGTGTAATGTCAGATATGCCTCACGTGCGGGAAGCCATTCAGAATTAGTTTATAAATGTAACATCTGTTACTGCTTGTTTTAGGAAGTAGCTTCTGTCACCTCGCTGTTCACGTATTACCTGGAGATTTTCTTCCAAGCAGGATTATTTACATCACTGATTGAGGACAGTTTTTTTTCATACCAGTATTACAGTGATAATTGCTCCTTTCTTTGCATTACCACCATTTTTCTATCAGCAATTTATAGAAGACCTGGCACAAGGGCTGCTGGTGGGGCTGAGAGAAATGAAGAGGCAGTGTGTGTGGTGGGAAGGCACAGCAAGCTCCTTGCAACTTAAGACCCAACACTGAATTCATTACACATGTTCATTTTAGATCTGGAAGACGAGCTGTTTGCCACACTACAACGTTACAGATGCATCTGCTGGAAATGCTGACGAGGGTTTGGTTCTTTTTGGGCTTACCTGTGCACTGTGGTGCTGCCCACCCTTGTGGAGGCACTGCTGCTGTGTCTTCCCAAACCTCAGGATGTTCTGCTCTGAACACCCTGTTGCTGGCATAAATCAGTGTATTTTAACATCCAGTAGCAGATGGTTTCACTTGCTGTTACTCAAACAAAGACAATCCTATCACAGCCATGGAGAGTCAGCCTTTCATTCCAGCCTACCAGCACCAGGCTTTGCCTGCCAGGAGTTTCTGCAGTGACCTGCAAGATGATGCTTTCAGAAGATAAGAAGGGAAAAAAAAAAGGCATCGTTGGACTGTCAGCAGTCTCGATAATCTACACGAAAAGGTGCGTTTTAACAACCTCTTCGCATGACCTACTGTCATGTTAATATTGAAATTCACATTTTAAGTTAAGGTTTAGTGTATTTTATTGTAATTCAATGCATTTTCACTAGACTTAAAAAGTTGCTTTGACCAGTTAATAAACTGTAGTGAGCAAATGCCAGCAACCAAAGGAAACTGAAGGCATTCTTCTGCCAAGGACACAGTTTTTTTCAGCCCAGCCATCATTATATTAATATTGAAAAGTCTCCTTCCTCACCCCCATTCGGAAGGCTAAGCCAGGAAACTCGTTGTGTCAGGACTGTGCTCTCCTAGGACAGCATTAGACCCTACTGAGAGAGGTAAAAGACGAAATACATAGTTCAAGGAGGGGGGGAAAAAAAAGCCTCTACAGTCTAAAGTAGGTCAGAAATGGGGCCAGTGCAGGACTGAGTCCGTGCATAATGCTCTCTGGGAAAATGAAGAGCTAGATCTTTAGTGTTTTATCACGTTCCAACAACCTTCCCCCCTCTATTAAGGCAGTAGCTTGAGCACTAGTTTGAAAGTCTAGTTGTAACACACAGTTCAGGTAGCTCTAAATAATCAGTGGTAGCTTCATGACTGGGAAAGGGATTACAGACACTGCTGAATACAGAGTATTTAGAAAATGTCTCTGCACTGTAACAAGTCCACCTAGACAATGCAGAAATTTTAGGAAATGAACCAAGAGATTATGTAGTAACTGTTTTCCTGCTTGTTTTTCAAAATCCCGACAAGGGCAGCACTGCCCTCTTGTGGTAATAAAGGAGAACAATTAATAATAAGATTTTTAATTTAATGTTTAACTTCCAGAATTCATTATAAATACTTACAAGCTCAAAAGAAATTCACATCAGAAAATGAGGAGAAAAATTATTAGACTCATAATAAAACAGCATTCTTGATCTAAGTATACAGGATCTGTAAAGGTTTCTATTTTTTAACTAGTCACAAAATGATTCTATTTGCAAGGGCTCACCATGAATCTGCTTCTCTTTGTTTTGAAAAAGGCACTAAATTCCTAAGCATTTCAAAAGTCATTAGGAAACAGAAGAGAAATGCTGTCACCTGCATATTCAAATATATATATATATTTATGAACAACTTTCTACATGAGGACTTAAAGAGTTTATTGAAGAGCTTGAAATAAGCATCAAAACCAACACGTGGGAACCTGAGCTGTGCCTAGGCCAGTCATATGCAGACAGACAGACAGACATGAACTGACCAGAGAGCACACACATACTGACTGACTACAGGTAAGGAGGCCACTTCCAGGTGAGAAAATTCATCTCATTCCTTTGACAGGGATGCAATAAAACATGCACGAACAAACGAACAAACAAATGAAATTGGCAAAACTTTAGTGTTCAGAGTTAGTTCATAGGATTTTTACTGAATGTTTCCACATGTTGTCCCACAACAGCAAAGTACTGCTGAGTCTTCGTATGTAAACAGCAAAAAGCCACGTTATGAGTAAGTGCCATTTGGCTGCAGAAACTGGCAAGTTATCGGCGATCAAAGTCAGTCGTCGTCTCTTCGGAACCCGCGCGTTATCCCACCTGCCACTGAAGACACAAACAGCAGAACACCACGTTTGTATGAAGACAGGGAAAAGAGAGGAAGAAAACCCAACCAACTGACCCACCACGAGGTTGTCCAACTACAACAAATTCTAAAATAAAACACCTTTTACTCCCTGCAGGTGAGGGACAGGCAGCGTACCAGCGGCATCTTACACAGACTCCTGCCTCCTGAGTCATAAACAGCAGTGAGGGGGAAAGGTGAAGGCCCAGGAAGCCTGAGTTTCAATGATCAGACTGCATTCTCTATTGATTTACAGAATTTGTTTTTTTCCTTAAGTTATTCAGCCTCATGCATGGCAAAACAGAATTCTCCCAGTGAAGGTATGGACAGCTGAATCACACTGCTTCTTCCTGAAACTTACTCTCAGCCCTCCTTCTCCTCCAGGACGTGAAGCTGCCATTCTTTTTTCTATTTCTTCCTGTTTCTTTTTCTTCTGCTCTACGGAGTAAACGTTCTTAATACCTCGAGAGGAAGCCTGGGAGAAAACACATTTGGGTAAGGCCAAGTTGGCTATTTTTCTGGAGAGAAGACAAACTGCAAGTCCTGGCAACACAGTTTTGTGAACTGTGGTTTGCATGGAAAGGCCAAAATGTTTAGCAATTATATTAATACATCAAGGCAGCCCTTTCAGGACACTGCCTCACCCTGTGAGCCATTAGGTAAGTGAGGGTGTTTTGTTTCATACTGTTATCACATCCAAGTGAATATATTTAATGCAGTGTACCTGCTCTGCATCCACAGATGCAGAACCAGAATTTCTGTTCCCAGAAGTCCACAGATTTTTAGTCTGTGGTTTTTCCCATGTCAGGGCCTACTCTTGCCCTCACAAACAGGGCAGAAAAGAGGTTGTGTTAGTTGTGCTAGCCCAGGCTGTAAAAAACTCCAACTTTTAAACTGTGATCTGTGAGAAATAACCTGTGTGACAGTCTAGCCTTCCAACTTCCATAGGGTGTGTGGATAGCAGGAATACAGATAAAACCTGGTAACTGCTTCACATCCTTGTGGTGACTGCCTGCCTTTTAGGAAACTGCTCTTCCAAGTGAGTCAGGCACCCAAACTGTCTACAGCACCCTAAAAGGAAGAGCAGCTCACACAACTTCAGGATGGATAATGAGCAGTTAAGAAGCATGTTCAGGAGAACACCAGGTAGAGAAACAAATCTCCATTACCCAGCGTTCAGAGGCTAAAATGCTCTCAAAGATAGTAATGAAAAATCCTAGGGGATGTTTTCTCTCTTTGTCTTTCAAGAAAACAACAAAAAATAGTAACAGAGGGTGATACTTCCAGTTTTCTTCAGCAGCCTAAAGGGTCCTACAAAACTTCAAGGCCATCCACAACCCAAGTTGCTTCATTTTTCCTTTCTTTTTAGCCAGTTAAGAGCTAGGTATTTCCTACAGTTATGCTTACAAACAGTGTTGAACTTGAACTTCCAATTCTTAAGTTGTTTTTAATTACCATAGAACTTCTCACATCCAAGCAAACTTAGTTACCTTACAATGGTCTTTGAGCACCTACCAAGCTGCAAAACTCTTAACATGTATATAAAAAAAGGTATAAAAGACATTAATAAAACTGGGAAAGTATTTAGTGACAATTCCCACAATCCAAACACGACATCCAGTATTCCCACAGAAGCCCCAGCTATTTTCCCCATAAAAGTTACCCAAAAGTAATTTGAATAAATGGCATTTTATCAGACATTACCTCCATCTGCCTCTTTTCAGCAGCTTCTGCTAGCTGTCTTCTTTTTATTTCCTAAATAAAACGTTAAAGACAGTGAAACTCTATTCCAATACAGTCTGTGCGTTCTTTTTAAAGTCTTAAATTTTTAAGCGTGACTCAAATCTGCAATGTGAGCTGCCACTAAATGTCAACCTTAAGTCAATTAGCATCATCCTTCCCTCCACTGCCAGTCGGCAAGAACGAAGTGTGCTTTTAGTGACTAATACGGCAGAAGAGCAGCTCTGCTGGCGCATTTAGCGCCCAGTCCCACCAGAAATCGTTAATTCAGCCGCCTGCTGAATTCAGCCTCCACACTCCAAAAATCCAGGCTGGGGTGAGGAGGCACGCAGTGCGCATCCTTTCGGGAGCCTGGAAAGCGGAATGGACGCTCGCTCCTCCAGGCCAAGCGGGCTGCCCTTCTTCTCTCCCACCAAATCCCCAGCCGAGGGATGGAGAGCTCAGAACGGGGTTCCCACACACCCAGCGGGGGCAAAGGCCACCCGCTGCAGGGCAGCGAGAAGCCAGCGCTGAAGAGATACGCCCGATCCTTCTCATTTCTCGTCAAAACGTGGGTCGCACTGCCCACGATTAGGCACAGACACCCCTCCCGTGAAACACCTTATCCCCCTCGCCGCTCTCCGCACCGGCGGCCCGTGGGTCAGAGCGGGCGGCCCCGGGCCCGCGGCTCTCCCCACCCCAGGCCGAGGGCCGAAGGACGGGCTTCCCTTTTTCGGGCACAGCAGCGGCAGCAGCAGCAGCAGCAGCTACAAGGCCCTGTTTATCTTTCCGCCGAGGGTTGCGCGGCCGCCCCGCGGCGCGGCCTCCATGTCGGGCCGGGCGGTCACCGCCCCCGCCGCGCGGGGCGGCACCGATAAACAACCGGGGGGAGGAGGAGGACGAGCGAAGTGGGGAGGGTTCCGTCCCACACTCACCGGGTCGGGCGTCTCCACCGCGTCCTTGGCGGCGTCCCCCAGGCAGGGCAGGCACTGCCCCATGGCGGGACCGAGCGCCCCGCAGGCCCCGCGGCGGAGGCGGCCGCGCCCCACCCACGGCCCCGCGCGGCGGCGGCGCCCGCCCCGCCCTGGGCCTGCCGCGGGGGCCGGGCCGAGCCGGGCCGGGCCGGGCAGGGCAGGGCGAGGCCCCGGCGGGAGTTTATTAAAAGCGGGCCGTTCTGTGGCGGCAGAGGGTCTGCGGTGTGATTGATTGCGCGGCCGGGCCGGGCTCAGGGCCTGCAGGCGGCAGCCACTGCTCGCGTGGCCCGCCCGGCGCTGCCCGAGTGGGGCCGGCGAAGACACCCGTGATGTCTCTTCTGGCTGTGGGGTGATGGATGGAGTTAAACCTAGAGAGGGTTCAGAATTCCAGGGTAAAAAGCAGCTCCCTGGACGGGCTGAGGTCGACTGTTGTGCTCCCCAGCACAACAATAAACATTTGCTCAGAGGAGTAGAACGGAGGGTGGACACGAAGTGGGGACTACGTGCCCACTCCGTTCTAATCCCGGCAGAATGGGAGAACACTGCGGTACTGAGACCATACAGTACGTGTCTGATAAGGGAGAATCAAAATGTTCTGCTGCTGAAGCCAACAACCACGTCGAGACCCCTCCTCAGGTGCCAAACCGCGACCGCCACTCCCCTCCCATTAGGTGCACCAATCAGAAATAGAAGGTGTTTATGACTAGAGCCACTCGAACTCCACCCAAACATAAAGAAAATAGTATAAAAGTAAGGTGGGGATAGGTGGAGAGTGGGAGAAGATCTCCACTGCAACTGGTGGCATCAGTTGATGGGCTAAGTCCATATTCTCCCCCCCCACCCCAGAGGGACACCTTGAGTGAGAAATACACTCCACGTGCATTAAACGCTGCTCTTAGGATTAGACCTTTTGCCTGTGCTTACCCCATAGCATATTAATCACGTTGCTTCAGAGTTTGTGCTTGCTTAATATATGTATCAGTAAATTGCTTTAAAACATATTTTTGCGGTGACACCATCACTGACAACCTTCGAACCTTATTATCCTGTCACAATTTGTATTAATAAAAAATGTTATTCCATAAACTGTAAAGTGAGTTCTTGCAGTTGCTGGTGTGGAAAACACCTTGGCAGGACCTGCTGAGGGGTCCTGGCTCTGTTGAGCTCCCCCTAACAAGTGAGATCTTATGAATCTGTTGTTGAAAGGTCTCCTTACGAGGCTCTGACAGTATGTCAGACACCAGGGTCTCAACTTTCCTGGGGGAGCTACGATCAAAAATCTGAACTCCCACCTTTCACATGACACTGCCTCTTCTGCTATTTCTTCCTCTTTTTCTTAAATAAAAGAAAGAAACCTTCTCTTCCAGTTATCTGTAGTAAACTCCAGCATTACCCTGTTCAACAGCATTTCCTGAATTTGTGTTGGAGCATGCACCTGTCCCCAAGGATTATGTGAAGATTGTAATATGTATTCTCCATAAACCATCATGCAGTGTCCACCCAGCTTCTTGTCTGCCTCTGCTTTTGAATAAAGTATATCTTTTTGCACCTGTGTACTTGTCCTACCATTTATTCCATGAGCCTGTGATGTCGCACATTATTGCAAAGTACAAAATCAAGTTTTTGTGTTTGTTCCCTGCAGCTGTAATTGGGCATTGAATCGTGGAGTTTGTGTAGAATCATAGGGTGGTTTAGGGTGGAAGGGATTTTAAAGGCCATCTGGTTTCCAAAGCCTCTGCCATGGGCAGGGACACCTTCCACTAGACCAGGTTGTTCAAAGCCCCATCCAACCTGGACTTGGGCATTTCCAGGGATGAGGCACCCGCAGATTCTCTGGGTAACCTCTACCTCACCACCCTGAACAGTGCAAACTCTCTCAACCTGTCTGTGTAGCACAGATGCTCCAGCACCCCCAAGGTCTTCACGGCCTCTGCTGGACTCCTTGCAACAGGTCCCTCATGTATTGGGGCCCCAGAGCTGGATGCAGGACTCCAGGTGAGGTGTCATGAGGGCAGAGCAGTGGGACAGAATCACCTCCTTCAACCTGCTTTTCATCCAGGCCAGTTGGCTTTCTGGGTTGCCTTGAATTTCCTGGGGCTGGCACGGGCACATCTCTCAAGCCTGTCAGGTCATCAGGCGTGTTGGTAACTGCATTGCTGAACTAAGTACTTCACACAAGTCACAACATTGTCCTGGGCTTTCTGGCCATCCACAATCTCACTGGCATAGTTGGAGCCTGATGAGGTAGGTCAGAAGGGGGAGCAGAACGAGGCTCACCTGCTGCCTGTCTTTGCTGATGAGGCTGAGATTGTTTGCAGGTGGGCACAAAGGCTCATAAGAGCAGCTTGGCTGCAGTATAAGTGCTGCAACCTTCTTGCTGTACAGTGTAGTGTGTTAGGAATTAACCACCTGCTTTTTAATGAAAGCTTTTTTTTTTTTTTTTTAAATTATATTTATTTCTGGAGTATCAAGGTTCCATTTTTTTGTGGAACCTTAAGTGCTTGGTATTTGTCAGGCTTCAGGTTAGAACTATTCTCAGCTGCATGCAAGTCTCCTTGTTGGATGTGCTAAGATTTAGAAGAAGATTGGCAGAACTTTTTTGGACAGAACTCTGCATGGAGAGAGAGAGCACAGTTTTCTGAAGGAAGTGGGACCTGCTCAGATACATCTCTGAAAAGGTGAGTCCTTCAGGCAAAACCTTAGTTCTTTTCGTGTGCCTACATAACACAGTCAGAAAATTGTGTATTGAGAAGTAGTAGGAAACATAGTAACAACTCTGTGTTCTGTATCAAAGGGCTTATAGGTTGTCACTGATGGATTTCAAGGCTAATGATTTTGTTGCTGAAGTGCGAAGTCACTTAGATTGAGGTCCTTTAACAGCTGCTTCTTTTGGCATATCCCCAGAATGTTAATGCCTGGTAGCTCAATAGTAAAAGATGATGGATATGTGTGTGCGTGTTTCTTTTAGTGATTTGAGGGCATTTTTGTCCACTTTTCCCACTCTGCCAAAAAAATATTGTAGTGGAATAATACATTAGTTATATAATTAACTTTAAAAATGAAATAAAATAACATTGTTATTATGCTTTTAAATGGGGTCTCTAGGCTGATTGGTTTGATTTATTTATTTTTTTCTTTTTAATTCATCTGATGAATTGTGTGTAGTGGGTTTGGAATATCTGATTTAACATGAAATACGCGTTGAAAATGTTAGCGACCTTTCTGCAGGGTTTTGGCAGCACATTAGAGCATCTGGCAATTTGTTGTCTCCTCACATGTAACAGTTTAGTTATGGTGATATTTTTGGAAGTGTGGAATTATGCCATCACCTGACTTCTATAAATGTTGATTAGTCTCTAGCTCTTATCTTCTGGATATCCAGCAGGTGGTACTATTGACACTAAAATTTCCTGTGTTTCCCAAATCGGTAACCACACCTTCAATTTACTGTTTTCGTTTGATATTACAGGCAGTTGTACTATTGCTATTTCATGTAAACCTAGTGAGAGAAACCATTTCCGACTGAAAATTTATGAAGTTATCATGCTTAGATGTTTGCTGGTATAACTTATATAACGTATATATTATTTAAGAAGTAAAACTCATTTATTATGAAATTATAGTTAGATTTTAACTTTGGACTGTTCAGTTGCTTATTATACCTCTCTTGCAATCACTTTTAATGTCAAACTTTAGGAATCTTTCTTCAAGAGAAGCCAAGTGTCTGTAAGAGTGGCCATGACTCAGTTGTAGCTGTGGTTTGGAAATCAGAAGTTCTTGCTCTTGCTACAGGCGGCTCTTAAAGCAACTTTCCAGGAAAAGCATGGAACAGCTTAGCGCCAGAAAAAGTAGCTGCAGCATCTCTGGATGTTTCTATAGTTTTTTGTGGCCCTAACGATACTTGCAGTCATTAGCCAGCAGTTTAAATATCAATAGGAAGCAACGTCAGCTAATCGATGGTGTGATTGCTTCCCCTGGGAGCAGCGATGGGCGGTGATGTGTGGCAGGGATGATCCCTCTGGTTGGAGCAGCGAGGCTCCACAGCCGTTCCACTCAGTCAGTCTCGCTTAGGCTGTTCCTTCTCCGGCTGCGTGGTTGCATGTCACCATCCTTGTGGAGCAGTAAATGAAAGGGGACAATCAATTTCTGGCTGTAAAGGAGTTGATGTATCTGTGTAAATGCCACCTGCAGCACAGGGGAACGTGCTTGTGGAGCCCTGCTGGTTACAGACCGGCAAGTCAGGCTGGAAGGCAGCCATCCCACAACTCTGCTGGCCTCTTTGGGGCCGTTTAGGTGCTCTATAAAATACATATAATTCAGCCAATAAGTGGTTAGCTGCAAGAAATCCTGCTGCACTTCGGGCATACCGACTAGATTGAAGATGGCAACGGTGCTGGTTTTTAGAGCCTCAGCTGGTTTGTTCTGGCCCCTTTGTGTTTGGGGGGGTTCAAGAGCAGCAATTTGTGTAAAGTCTTCCATGCAAAGCACAGTTAGTGGAGCCTCAGGTTCTGAGTATTGCTGTAAGGAATCAACAAAAATGTAACTCTGATGATTTTTTTTTATTCGTGGCATTTTTATTTATATATGGAGAGGTTGATTCCCACCACATGAAATTTTAAGACTTAAATTCAGCCTCATCTCAGCACCTTCATATTACTTCCACTGGCACTCATGATAGAATAATATAAGGATCTTTTCTTCTTCCAAATCAAGGTCTTTATTATTATAACAGATTGTGGACCAAGAGAAAAGAGACGGTTTCATGGGATGAGCACAATTTAGTAACTTAGTACTTTGTGTTGTCCTAGAGAAACTCTCAGGAGTTCCTTCTGACAAGAACCTGACAAAGATTTCTAGGCAGTGACTGGTTTTGGACAATTTAGAAAACTAGCTCTTAAATCTCTAACTTTAGATGGAAGATATTATGTACGTGCATAGTTGAATATTAGCAGTGAAATAATAATAATGTACTTTAATTTTTTTCCCTTTACTTTGGTAGGATTCTGCAGAAAATGTAGGGAAGGACATGAGATCTGTAAGCAACAGTTAGATGAAAATATACAATTAATGGCATGGCAGATTAAGTGTACTGACTCTCAATAT